AGGACACGGCTCAGGAGGCTTTAGGGGGCTCGTGGGGGCCCCCTCCCCCCCCCTGCGCCCCCGTGTCCCATCCTCGTGTTCTCCGTTCCTCGTCCCTTCCATCTTTCGCTCTTCCCATTTTTTTCCTCCTTTCCCCTTCCCCTTCTATCTCTCTTCCCTTTCCCCTCTTCTCTCTCCCCTTCCATCTCTCCTTTGCCTCTCCCCCTCCTCTTCCTCTCCCCCATCCCGTTCCAACTCCTCTCCTTCGCCCCCTTCCCCCCCTTCGCCCTTCCCCTTATATCGCCATCTCTTCTTCCGTGAGAATTACTTGACCGGTTCGCCGACCTCCCAATTACCCGACCCGACCCGACCCGACGAGACCCGACTCCATCAGTATTCGTGGTCGGGGACGTTGTTGGCCACGTGTCGGCTGATGTTGCTGCTTTCGTTGTCGGCTGATGTTGCTGTTGCTGCTGTCGGCTGATGTTGCTGTTGCTGCTGTCTGTCGGTCGCTGTGCGTTCGCGGCCGCCCAAGGTTAGCGGGGACGGCCGACGTGTGCGCTGGCCTTGAGGAATCCGCTTGCAGATAGGGGCGCCCGGCCAGCCAGCCCTCGCGCGTTCTCTTTTGTGGTTCTCTTTCTTTCTCTGTCTGCGTCTGAGTCTCTTTCTGTCTGTTTCTGTTCTTTCTGTCTGTCTCTCTCTTTCTTTCTCTTTCTCTTTCTCTTTCTTTCTTCTCTTCTCTCTTCTCTCTCTCTCTTCTCTCTCTCTCTCTCTCTCTCTCTCTCTCTCTCTCTCTCTCTCTCTCTCTCTCTCTCTCTCTCTCTCTCTCTCTTTCTCTCTCTCTCTCTCTCTCTCTCTCTCCTCTCCCTGCCTTCTCTTCTCCTCTCCTCTCTCCCTCTCTCTCTTCTCCTTCCTTGTCTCTCTCTCTCCTCCTTTGCCCTATAGCGAGCCTGTCTTCCCTTCGCTTCCTGGTAGATAAGGAAGACCCGATAAGAAACCGAAGGAGATGCTTTAAAGATACGAAGATCGGCGAAAGAATAGAATGGAGAAGATAAAAGAAAGCGGAGAAAGATAAGGGAGAAAGGGGGTTTTGTGTTTTGATGAGGTATTTAGGATGTGAATAAAGAGAGGAAAATTATGCATACGTGACTGCGGTCAGATATGTTTGTGCGTGCGTGTGTGTGTGTGTGGCTGTGTGTGTGTGTGTGTGTGTGTGTGTGTGTGTGTGTGTGTGTGTGTGTGTGTGTGTGTGTGTGTGTGTGTGTGTGTGTGTGTGTTTGTGTCGGGGAGGGAAGGAAGGGTAAGGAGAGAGAAGGAGAGAGAAGGAGAGAGAAGGGGAGAGAAGGGGAGAGAAGGGGAGAGAAGGGGAGAGAGAAGGGAGAGAAGGGGAGAGAAGGGGAGAGAAGGAAGAGAGAAGGAGAGAGAAGGAGAGAGAAGGAGAGAGAAGGAGAGAGAAGGAGAGAGAAGGAGAGGAAGGAGAGAGAGAAAAGAGAAAGAGAAAGAGAAAGAGAAAGAGAGAAGAGAGAGAGAGAAAGGAGAAGAGAGAGAGAGAGAGAGGAGAGAGAGAGAGAGAGAGAGAGAGAGAGAGAGAGAGAGAGGAGAGAGAGAGAGAGGAGAGAGAGAGAGAGAGAGAATGACGAGAGAGAGGGGAAAGAAAGAAAGAAAGAAAGAAATTAGTAGAAGAAGACGGAAAGAAATGACTATCACAAGTCTAGAAATTTGTGTCAAGTGGAGGAGGAGGAGAGGGAGGGGAGGGGGGGGGGAGGAGGAGATAGAGAGCATGAGAAGAGAAGAGGGGGAGGGAGGGGGAGGAAAAGAAGATAGAAAGGAGAGAAGAGGAGAGGAGAGGTGGGTAGGGAAGGGGTGAGGAGGAGATAGAGCATGAGAAAGAAGAGGGGAGGGGAGGGGAGGGGAAAGAAGAATAGGAAAGGAAGAGTGAAGAGGAGAAGGAGAGGTGGGTAGGGAAGGGGTGAGGAGGGGAGGAGAGGGAGAAGGAGGGAAGGGGAGAGAGAGGGGGAGAGGAGGGGAGGGAGGGAGAAGATAGAGAGGAGAGGAGAGGAGGGAGTAGGTGGTAAGGAAGGGATTGAGGAGGAGAGGAGGGAGGAGAGGGAGAAGAGGGAAGGGGAAGGGAGGGGAGAGAGGGTAGAATAGAGAGGAAGAGAGAGAGAAGGAGAGGTGGGTTTGGGAAGGTGGAGAGGAGGGGAGGAGAGGTTGGGTAGGGAAGGCGGTTGAGGAGGGGAGGAGAGGGGAGAGGGAGAAAGAGGGAGTAGGGAGGAGGAGGGGCAGGAGATAGAGTAGGAAGAGAAGAAAAGAGGAGGGTGGGTGG